GAAGCCACCCAGCGGATGGACAAAACACGCCCTATCACCAGGAGACGCTGTCCGACTGCTTGCGCACACTGCGCTAACTGCCTCTGATTTTTGGGGGAGGCATGGAACAAGGAATAGAGTTTATCAAAAAAGATCTGGAAATGATTGAGCCCTGAGACCTCCTTGACCACATCCCCAACTGCCAGCTCTAGACGATGATTGGAGCAGTGCCACACAAACAGGCTTGGGAATTTACTACACAACTGGGTAGCAACGCCTGTTCTCTTCCCTAGCATGACTGAAGCCCCATCACATGCAAAAGAAACGAAACACTGACCTAAAAAGTCCTCGTTAAAATCTCTTCCAAGACACTCCATTAACGCCTTTGTGATGTCATCAGCCGTTGTTCCATCCAACTCGATCAGCTCCCAAAAAAACGTTTCGGGCTCAGCATCAGCTAATGTTGAGCGTAGACACACAACAAGCACCGTTTTTACCACTAATAGTGGTAGATTCATCGACCAAAACACAGAGTTTTCTTTGGTTTTCTGTAATGTCTTTTGCCATTTTTTTCTTCAGCTCATGAGCTATGTGGTCGATGATTTCGCCACAGGTTTTATTGGAGTGCAAAACCCTGCCCACGTTCAGCCCATTCAGTTTCTGTACATTCAAATCAATTGGCATGTCTGTGAATGGCCGGCTATGTTTGCCAATTTTATATGCCGTTCGAAAAACTCTGATAGTGGTGTCTAATTCAGATTTATGCATAGACTGCACTTGATGTTGAATAGTTTCACGTGAAGCAGATGTAAGGATGTCAGCAGCTTTTACATGGGCTTGTGATTCTTTATGTTCTTTGATTTTTTTTCTCAGGCTAGCTTGTTGTTTGCCCTTGTCAACACCGAAATGAGACACTGCACACTCACCCCATTCAGTTGACAGTTTCAGTCCTTGTCCAGTGTGTATTCCCAAAGATTTGACATCTCTGCATATCCGACATCCTAGCTTCTTATCTTTAAGAAGGAGCCATGCATTGGTCTTGCAAAAATATTGCACCTGGTCCGTTGTCCAGCAGTCAGGTGCATCGCTTTGCCCGGTGTTGGTGGTGGCAGTTGAGCCAGCAGCAGCTAACGTTAGAGGCTCTGGAGGAGGCGGCGGAGCTAGTGCTAATGCTAATGCACTAGAACTTGGAGCAGGAGGATCAACCAAAGAAAGCTCCCCATCAGACACAATTTCCAACACAGGCACAGCATTCTCTGTATTTGAAGTTTCTTCCGGCGACAACCGCTGTCTTTTTGCACTTTTATTAATCCACGCTAACATTTTAGAAATGCTAATTTGTAACGTGACTTGCTTTCCTTCTCTCGGGGGCGTGCCTGCTCTGTTCTATCACTCTACATAGCCACCCACTGGGTGGGAGTTGCACTGCATAAACACAACACACGTGCATCTAGGTATGTAAATTGTAAAGCATTAAAACATGGTTTTACTAACAGTTTTCAGTATGTTGTTACTTCGGCATTATTATTATTATTATTTTGAAACGTGTATTACTATTAAATCACGGTCAAATAGGTTAATTTTGACATAGTCGTTTCCACCACAGTATTTACATGGAGAAGATAAGCCCCGCCCCCTCTCCAGCACGTTCTGTTTGAATGACAGGAGTAAACAGCTGACAGCCGCTGTGAAACTCCAGCGGTTAGAGCGATGAGAATGTCCGTTCGGCACCTCATGACGCATCTACTGAGTACCGGGCGGCTGTATATATATATGGATGTATAATAAGAACGGCGGGAGAGTGTTGAGTACTGGCACGGTGCATGAGTACCGGAGTACCGCCAGCATGCCGGTACTGAGCAAGAAGTGCCGGTACTCCATGGGTCAGAACCAGAAGTGCCGGTACTGCGTACCGGTGAGTACCGGCCCAATTCCAGCACTGGGTGTAGTCTCTTTATTTCCCCCTCAAAATGCACCAGATTGATGCATTTAAGTCCAACATTTATACCGGACCCCCCTATAGGATTTGAGGTCCACCCCCACTTATAATATGTTCACATAGGTTCCTAAATAGATTTGCACATTTTTTTAAATAGTAACCCATGTCCATATGTTTATTTTGGGTAGTAGATTTAGAAGGATATCACTATGGGCAGCAACGCTGTAAATATTGACAAATAAATCCAGCAAAATGGCACAAAAAACTGGTAGTGGCCTGGCTGGGTGTATAATTCCCGGCCTGACTTATTGTCCCAGTCCGGCCCTGGCCAGAGGTGTAGAGCTATATTTGTTTAAGCCTATTGTATGATAACTGTGTGATTACTATTTCTTTTCAAATGCATATCTGCCACCCATTTACACCACTCTTCCCGTCAAGAATTGGAATTTGAATAGAACTTAGTTTTAGTTTCTGGATCTCACGGAGAACACTGTCCCGCTTCATTGTAGGATTTCTGCCTTGTCTCCACTTTATAAATAAGTAATTAGATAGACTACCTTACCATTAGGCTACTGCGCTCATAAAGAATGATAAGAATAAGAATAATGCCGGCGTGATCAGATCACATGACCTGTTCAAGCCGGTGCCGCATAAAAACAACAGTCCGGACAAGTACTGGCTTGAAACTATATGCCAGTCTTTGTTTCATGCAGAAAGACCCAGTAAACACGGAGATACGATGATATAAAGTTAATACAAATATATTTCAAAAGTATGAAAAATGGAAGCACATATATTTTAATATCTTCGCCGTATTTTATAATTTTACGTGATTAGTGAGTTTATTTAAGGTAATTAGGTAGAAGCCCTTTTTGATCAGTAACGAATTTAGCAGTTGAACATAAAAGTTAACTGAGTGTGACTTGCAATGACAGTGTTGTGTTTTTAGGGGGGGGGGGTGGGACACACACATTCCGATGGCCAATTAGTTTTAAACAAAGAGTTCGCAACATACATAGGCATAGGGGGGGGGGGGGCTGGTGAACGGTATAGTCAATGTTTGTAAACACTGTGAAATGTTTACTTTATTTGATCATTTCAGTTAAAAACTAACGTTCATATTTCTCTTTTTGAGAAGAGAAATATGAATATGTTAGTGGCTGACCCAGCCCCATGGTCTGTCACAGTAGTGCGGGAAAGAGAAGTGCCCTGTTTTGCCTGGCTGAACCTGTATTGTACAGGAAAGGAGCGAGCAGAGGAGGAGTTATCGATTGTTGTTCTGTTTTCTGTGAACAATCCTCACCCTCTCAGACTTTCAGTTTTGCGCGCTACTAAAGAGACGCGCTACCATGGAAACCAAACAATGGTGTAGCTGTAAGATCAGGGGGGGAGAGAGTGCCTGATGGGCCATTAGGTGTGTAAACCATGGGTGTAAACCATGGTGTAAACACACAGCGGAGAGCTGCCGTTTCATTCAAACTGTTTAAAAAACGGTAACAACGGACCATTCTTCTTAGCGGATGCATGTCAATTTAAATCAATACATTGTAGTGCCACAACATACAACTATTTTTTAAATCAATAAAAACATTTTCTAAATCCATAAAATCATTTCAATTAATATTGGGAGTCATGTTGTTACTTTGTTGAGAATGTGGTCATGTAATAAGCGGGATAATTTGCAGCAACTTGATCCTTATGGGGAAAATAACACCCTTCATCCAGATCAAGGTCCCTCCGCTACGCGTCGGGACGGGACCCTGATCTGCCTGACGAGACATATGGATCTTAACAAAGATCCGCTATACAGCAGTAGCCTACCAGACATAAACTACCGTACTGTATCAGAGTTTATTTCACATGAGCTCCAGTGTGGAACCCCACTGCACCTGTATGATCCATTGCAGCTGGCTTCATTATAATTACATTTATTTATCAAGGGGGCGGTCTCAAATCAGGCTGGAGGTCAGCGAGGGCAGACCCCGTGCCGGCCACGGCCCTCGCGTTTCAAACTGTCTGAAATGTGGTGCTACATCTGTAAAGATGACTCTGAATTTTAATCCTAGGCTATTTTTTCTAAAATGGTGGCTATGGGGTAAAGTGAACCATGGGCCTTGGGGTAAATTGAGCCAGTTTTTCAATGGAGAAATGAATGAAAGTAGGCCAAGTTGATAAGAAGAGCTCATTGTAGGCTACATTTAAAGTTACATTTACCCTGTGTTTGATTGGTAAGATGTATGAAATTGTATCACAACTAACATATTAAAAATTCAATCGAAATTTATATTAAAAATATTTGAAAAAATAAGCTTCTATTTGGTTTGTTATTTATTATTTATAGTTACCTTTAAGATTTGTTGTAGGTATGCCCAGGTTTGAACCGTGGTTCAATTTACCCCCTGACCTGGATCAACTTACCCCTACACTGGGGCAAGTTGAGCCACAAGACTTTATTTTTTTAAGAAGTAATATTTTCACTGCCCTTGATCAAATATTAATTATTATCATTGCCATTGATTGGAGACTTCCTGAATTATAGGTGTGTGTTTTCATTTTTACTGTGTCATTTATCCACTCTCCCCTATTTTTAATGGACATTTGTGGAATGATCATCTTTTGATGCGTCGTCGGAGGCTTGAATAAATGCAGCAGCAAATCACTAGCTCAACGTTAGCTAGGATAGCAGTTGGTATTCAGCAACAGACATCACGTATCACGATAAAACATTCTGAAAGATATAACCCAATATCTTCTATCCAGCTCTAGCACCATTTTGTCTATTGTTTTACAGCCCATCCATTTAGCTATGTAGGAAAAATGCCAACTATTAAGGTAAGAAAATATTGACAGCAATACCTCTTTTAATCCTATGAGTTGCTCAGTGGGCATGAAGCCAAAATGGCTGACTTCAGAACACTTTATTATTTTTACATCCCATGTCATTATTTTGGGATTGTTCTTAATTGTACTTATATATTTTTCAGTGACAGAAATGTGCTTCGTTTAACTCAGGCTAATAAATGAAAGCACTAAATAATTTCATAAAATAGAACATTGGTCATAGTTCAGGAACAACACGATGTAGCACCAAATCATAACTCTTTTATTAAAATCCATCTTCACATTTGATGTTATAACATCTCAGTACACGCATTGTAACAGTGAACAATTCCTTCAAAACAATTAAGCTCCATGTCAAAAACAGGATTTGTCAAATTCAGTGCCTTTAACTGGTCACTGTTATGTTTCATAACAAATGAACCTCGCAACTTGAAAAAAGAGTGAACAAAAGACACAAGATAAGAACATTGATATCCAAAGCAGGAAGGAAGAACAGAACGTGTAAGAATACAACAGACATTTAAAGAACAAGGCGGGACAAGAACTGTTATCATTGTGCGACATTCAAAGGAACTACTGTGCGATTCTTTAAAACTGTTGTTTTATTGAATAAAAGCAAATTGTCAATAATTCTACAATGATGCTTTTGAAGAATGTTGACCACGCCCTAACTAACTGTTGAATATGGGGAGAAAACGTTGGATTGGGCATCTAGGCCAGGTCCTCTTCGCCTTCATCCTCAAACTCTCCCTCCTCCTCAGCGGTGGCATCCTGGTACTGCTGGTACTCAGACACCAGGTCGTTCATGTTGCTCTCAGCCTCTGTGAACTCCATCTCATCCATGCCCTCGCCGGTGTACCTAAAACAAGGAAATGTTACCCTCATGCATATAACATTCACTCTTTCCTGACATTTATTTGTCCAAACGATTCATCTTGAAATACGTAAACCCTCTATCACTCACCAATGGAGGAAGGCCTTGCGGCGGAACATGGCGGTGAACTGCTCTGAGATGCGCTTGAACAGCTCCTGAATGGCCGTGCTGTTGCCGATGAAGGTGGCGGCCATCTTGAGGCCACGGGGAGGGATGTCGCAGACGGCAGTCTTCACGTTGTTTGGGATCCATTCTACGAAGTAGCTGCTGTTTTTGTTCTGCACATTCAACATCTGCTCGTCCACTTCCTTCATGGACATGCGGCCTCTGAAGATGGCGGCAACCGTGAGGTAGCGGCCATGGCGTGGGTCACAGGCTGCCATCATGTTCTTGGAGTCGAACATCTGCTGGGTGAGCTCAGGAACCGTCAGAGCCCTGGGGGAGGACACACCACCCGATAAAGATTTATTTCGAAATGCATTTGTTAATGTGTTGTTTTAAGTGAAAAATATATATAATCGTCTTAATTGCATTTACATGTATTTTGGGGGGGGGGGATAAAAAACAAACCGTGTGGTGCTGTTATTCATGACAAACTGGTCTAAGAACGCAATACATTTAGCTTGTTCCAATTTCTCCCTTTGTTTGCCTTTTCAAGGCGAGGCAATTATTGTTAAAAATCAACAATGGAAGTACGGAAGGTAATTGAGGCCAAACCTGCTTTACATTTGCATTCATTTTATATGTTCTCTAGAAAAATTACAATCCTTAATGCTTTTGTATATATATATATATATATATATATATATATATATATATATATATATATATATATATATATATATATATATATATCTACCTGTACTGCTGGCTGCCACGGCTGGTCAATGGGGCGAAGCCGGGCATGAAGAAGTGTAGCCTGGGGAAGGGCACCATGTTGACAGCCAGTTTCCTCAGATCAGCATTGAGCTGGCCGGGGAAGCGCAGACAGGTGGTCACACCGCTCATGGTGGCTGAGACGAGGTGGTTGAGGTCGCCGTAGGTGGGGGTGGTGAGCTTCAGTGTGCGGAAGCAGATGTCATACAGCGCCTCATTATCAATGCAGAAGGTCTCATCTGTGTTCTCCACCAGCTGGTGGACGGAGAGGGTGGCGTTGTATGGCTCCACAACTGTGTCTGAAACCTGAGGTCGGGGAGGGAGAATGATTTACATTAAGGCAAGAAATAAGACAAGGAACATAGTTAATGTTGTAGTATTTTGGTGTATTATAAGCACCTTGGGGGAGGGCACCACGCTGAAAGTGTTCATGATGCGGTCTGGATACTCCTCTCGGATTTTGCTGATGAGCAGCGTGCCCATGCCCGAGCCGGTTCCTCCACCCAGGGAGTGTGTGAGCTGGAATCCCTGCAGGCAGTCGCAGCTCTCCGCCTCCTTCCTCACCACATCCAGGACCGAGTCCACCAGCTCGGCTCCCTCAGTGTAGTGACCCTTTGCCCAGTTATTACCAGCTCCGCTCTGGCCTGTGTCACATGCAAACACACAACTCTTATCAAAGCTGTGACATCAGCACATCCTGGCTCTACATTAAAATATGACTTCATTGGTCAAATGTTAAAGAGTAGGGATGGGTATCGAGAAACGGTACTAAGTCAGTACCAGTACCTGATTGGACGGTATTGGTATACCGTTAAGCCGCTGGAAAAACGGTGCCGCTATCGACATATGAATTACGCTACTTCCTTAGTTTAAACAATTCTGGTTGGTTCAGAACCCTCATCCTGTGTGACGTATCCGGTTTGATTACCACTCTGATTGGCCACTGTGAATGCCACTCGTCATCTCTCCTAACAGCGCTCTTATTATTGTGAGACTCCCGGGGGCAGACCATAGGGTCAGAGGCAACATCTTGCAAGAAACGGCGTTTCAAGGCTTCTTAACATTTACCAACCTATTAATGATGCATATACCCACTTAACGGGAAGAAACTCAGCTAACAGACGTTATTAACCATTTTACCTACATGGAACAGAATTCCAACACAAAGAGTCTAAATCAACACTTAGCAAAGCGGGCTAACGGCTGCCTTAGCATATAACTGGCAAAAGCTTCCGGTTTAGGAGGTCTCGTCTCGTTTTAACTGAATAATGGTCATTTTTACATGGATTTATGAACTGCCCCTAATTACCACCCCCCTTTCAGAGACACACTGTCAAACACTCATACCTGCTTGGTATGACATTGAAAAAAAATTACATTAAATAAATAAAAATTGCAATAAATTTAGTGTCGTTTAATCTTCACATCTTTTAATCATGTCTATCATTTTGAGCACCAAATTATTGAAAAGTATCTAAAAATACCGATATCGATAAAATCCTAAAGATACCCACCCCTAGTGAAAAGTGACTGTAGATCAGGGCTGCACAATATGCGGAAAACATACAATGCCATGGCTTTATGTAAAACTTAATAAATGTAAGTAAAAAAATTAAGCAGCAATACAAAAATAATGATAGTTGCATTTTCAAATGCAGTTTTTATGTTCAAAGTCTGTGAACTCATTCCAAAATACTTAAATGCAATAATTCAGCCTTTCACAATGTGTATATCGCAAAAGACGACACATTATTTTTTGGAATATATTGTTCAGCCCTAATCCAGTTGCTTAATCACAGTATGGCAACTTCAATAACCCAAGTTAAAGACATTTTCATATTCTCACCAAAGACAAAGTTGTCTGGTCTAAAGATCTGTCCGAAGGGACCGGACCTCACCGAGTCCATCGTGCCAGGCTCCAAGTCCACCAGCACGGCCCGGGGGACATACTTCCCACCTGGTGATTCAAACACAAGAAGGCATTATTTATATTAAGCAATTTTTTTCTTCTTAAATTGCTGCATTATAATTACTCAAGCAAAACCACGTTTATCTTTTTTCATCAAAGACTTTGCTTTCTTTAAAGTATGACCAAACACAGTAAAAAGCATATTGTACGCTCAATTATATTTTATAATAGTTTGTCTGGCATGCTAATACAGTCCAGTCTTCTTACAGCACAAGGTTAGCCAGGGGTTAAATTGGAATTGTCTATGTGTGGTGGGGGGGGGGGCTCTGTGTCGAGGTGCAGGCGTGGTCGCACATCACATCATCTGCTACTGTATCAAATGCGCACATTTATGCCACCAAATGAGACACTAAAATAGTATTACAAAGAGGACCGTCTTTCTAATAGTGACATTAAACTTGAATTAATATACATCTTAAATTATTAATATATACACCAAAATGTGTACGTGCTTTGTAATGGTCGGTGTAGCTTAAAAATATTTCTTCGGAAATCTCAGCATTTACAGTATGATGTCAATCTCACGATGCACAATTTGATCATAACTCAGCTTTAAGCACAGGCATACATATAGCATGGTGTAAGAAACGGGCTCCGTGTTACCAGACGGGCGGGGTGGTTTGGTGCAGAGCCTTTGCACCACCCGCCCGCAGCGGAGTCTGGGCGGTGCTGCAGCTCCAACGCAGAGACACACATTCACCAAGGCCGATTTTAAAATAAAGTCAACACATATCGACCCTAAATATAGTATAGTTAAGAACGAGAAACGTTTTTAAATATCTTTTTTTGATATCTTCTGACAACGGTACGGGGGTGATGACGTCAGAGCATCGCCCTATTTGCCGGGCTCAGCCTCGGCCCAAATTAACCCCTTGTTACACCTAATATATAATACAAAAATAACCGAAGTGACTGGTTAATATATGTCGACAGAATATTATAATAAGTTACAGCTGTATTGTTGTTTGGGAAAGCATAATTATCTTGACGTTTTGTTGACTTGTTGCCGTATCCTAGAAACGGCGGCGCTAGCAACAGTAGCTAGGAGCTAAAGCAAAGCTAACCTGAAGCCTCATTGTAATAGACGTTGATGCGATCCAGCTGCAGGTCGCTGTCCCCCTGGTATGAGCCGGTCGGGTCGATGCCATGTTCGTCGCTTATGACTTCCCAAAACTAGAAGAGAATAAAACACAACAACGGTCAAATTACCTGCTAACTAGCATGACTTAGCTTAACGATTCGAATAGGTTGAACCCGTAGGTAGCTTTCATTAGCATTGCTGCTAAGTAGACTAATCAACCCGCCCAAACGAACATTAACATCTACGCACTTAATGAATGAGTTAAGAATTCAAATGTAAATCTAAACTACTCTCTTACCTTAGCTCCAATTTGATTTCCACATTGGCCTGCCTGCAGATGCACAATTTCCCTCATTTTGGTTGAATTCAAATTTTCCAACCGACTGATAAAGACAAAGGTTTGAATCTGTACTGATGCAGCAACGAACTAACCAGAGAAGATGGGAGTGCTGCTATTAACCGTTACCCGATTAACGCCATTGGTCCAAATTCATGTCACTCAGCCTCAGCAGACATCTCATTGGTCAAAAAAAACTTAAGGGGGTGTCAATTGCGGTTTGCATACAATTTGTAGGTGCCTTCACCGCCACCTTCTGGAATGGAGTATAGATGAGCACTGTAAAACCTCAAATCCTACATTATAATCCTTGTCCATTTTTAAGACCTAAATACTGCCCTGTAGGCCTACGCCACATCCCCTGAACTCCGTCGCAAAAATATATTTAATTCTATGTGGTTTCTGTTCAATATTTGCTTCAGTTCTTAGAAATTCCCAAAAAAAAACGTCAGCAATTGTTTTGTCATTGCTAGCTTGCTACAATATTCACATCTGCCGTATTTTTTCCACTATGAATAACGTGCTATTATGCCCTGACCAATCTCATTTTGATAATGATGTCCTCTTTTTTTTTTACACATGTGTTGACTTCTCTTGTTTCTCCAACTTACCTGTAAACATTAAAACAATGTATGTCCTTTACTCCTCTATTACACTCATCCTGCCGTTTCTTTTTCATTTGGGATTTCATGATGTGATTGTGATCTTAGCCTTGCAATATTTCACACTCATACTAATTTGTCTCTTCTTTGTCTCCAACTTTGCATATACCAGATAATTTCCCTCCACCCCAATGTGTGCAGGAATCCAGATGAAATAGGTGACTGCTCCTGCCCTTCAAATTTGTTGAAGTGTTTGTGCTATTTCCGGTAGGCCTACTATGTCTTGTCTTGTTTCTGAAGGCCTATCTGTAATGCTTTCCAATGCACTGCTGGAGTCAGAGCCTATAAATACCTTCCTTGTCCGGACTTCTTCCACTCAATTCAAAGCCAGAAGAATAGCCAAAATATAAGAATCCTTTATTTGCATATTTGTAATTGACTTTATTACAACAACAGACAGTGCAGGTAATGTATGTACAGTATTACCACACCATCACTAACCAAATGATGAACAACGTTTTTTATTATGTTTTCCACTTACTATATAGAATATAATTGGAGGGATGACACCCTCTTTTATGGTCACACAAGCACACACAGTGAAATGTGGCCTCTGCATTTAACCCATCCTAGTAGGAGCAGTGGGCAGCTATTGTACAGCGCCCGGGGAGCAATGGGGAGTGAGGATGTACAGTGCCTTGCTCAAGGGCACCACAGCAGGGCAGGAGGTGAACTGGGACCTCTCCAAGTAGCAGTCCACACTCCATATTTAGGTCTGGTCGGGGACTTGAACCGGCGACCTTACGGCTCCCAGTCCAAGCCCCTACTGACTGAATGCTATGTCGACATACTAGACTTTATCATTTTTTCCCCAACATACTAAACTATCATACTATTTTTTACTAAGATGACACACGATACTATTTTATTTTTTATTAAGTTTTTTGTGATATTTTCTGACTTACTATATGTTGTTTTTCTCATATTTTCGACATACTGTACTACACATTTTTGTCATGAAATGTTTAACATGCTCTACCATTATTTTTCAACATACAATGACTCATTTCAAGATATTTTTACAATTACTGTTTTGAACATATTACATTTTTATACACTTGTAAATTGGAAAAACTTTTTATTTTATTTTAATATTATGTGCCATACTATAATACTCAATTTTGTCATTAAACTTCCCTTATAGTATTTTAAACATACAGTACAGAGAACCTCGTTCACCAGGCAAACCAACAAAGCATGTCGATAAATCATTCCCATTCTAACCTAGTGTTGTTATTCCCTTCTGTGACCATTTGAGGGCAGTAAACACTAATCAGATCTGTTTTACTACAGGCACAATATAATGTCATCAAATTCAGCTTTGATCCTTAGTAACCATTGGTTTCTGGATGTAACTTTTTCAAAATATAAACTGGGGTGACTTCAATTAAAGGTCCCCTATTATACTCTTTTTCAACAATATATTATATCTATATACAGAACATGTCTCTGAAGTGTTTGTCTCGAAATACCAAACACATAATGCATTGAAGCAACCCTATGTTTCAGCCCTGTTCCAAAAGTGTGGATTCTGTGTCTGAAGCTTTAAATGCAAATGAACTACGCTGAAATGTTGACTCTAATTAAATGTATTATTTCAACAGAGTTAACATAACTGTATTAGGTTAGTTTAAAGCAATGATATTAAGTTTGACCTTATGTTTTGAATTCAAACTTTTTTTATATTAATATTTTTGCTTTCAACTAACCTAATACAGTTATGTGAAATCTTTTAACATAATACATTTCATTAAAACTGCGGTCACAGTCGTGCGCGCAGTGATGAGCGGGCCCTCGCATCTATGCGCCTGTCGGGGAGGGTTGCCGGTTGACCCGGCGTCAAGTCGAAATGAGCCGTTTGTCATTTCTCTAATTTTCGCGTCCTCGAGTCCTCGGTCCTCCAGCAGCGACCCGGAAACGGATGTCGGCGAGCCGTCTCGAAGGAAAACACATTTCTCTAAAGGCTCGTTGAGGATCAATTATCGAGGAGGCTGTCTAGAGGAGCCAAGCGATCGACTATTCTTTCTCAATGTGTCACATTGGATATGAGCTGAACGTGTCCTGGATTGTAATTTTTCCGATCATTTCCCCAGGTTTAAAGCGCAGGAAGAAGACAAAATCCACCAATTACAATAGGTTCCTCGCACTTCGTGCTAGGACGCCGTTGGGTCCTAGCACTCTCGGGCTCGGGCCCTAATTAAGGTCAACATTTCAGTTTATCAGTGTACCTCTCCCCACGCCCCTCTGCCAGATGTTTGGTTTTAAAAAACACAATGGTGCTCTAGCAGATTCAGGTGATAAGGTTGGTTATTGGCTAATGCTTGCACAACCCAAAAAAAAAAAAAAAAACATTGTGACATCACAAAGTGATGTAAAAAATATATTAAACATATCCAAGTATCAAGCATAATTTACTTTTGATTGATCTTTCTAACTTATAACTTAACTTATGAGGCAATATACCTCACCTCTATTGGCTGGCCCAGACCTTCGTATATATATATATTTTTCGACACCCCTGAGCTAGTTGAACCTAAAGTGTAAATTGACTACTGCCTCCTAGTGGTTTGATATCAGCACTACACTAAATGTACATTAACGCTTTCTACCAAACTAGGCTGCTTTTTCATTGGTTTCTCTGCAGTGCAGATTTTACAAGATTTTTTAAGAAAGTGTTTACCAAAATACAAATACAAAAAAGAGAGGAGAAAAACTAAAAAGTACTTCACGACCCTGGTATGGTGGAAACTTTTCCCACGTTCACAATATCAAAATGGAAAATATTCGACAAATAGGCTACTTCCTAATGATTATGATAAGGTTGTAATGTATGTTGACAAAGTCTATGTTACAACTTTAGGAAGGACATTTAAGGAGGAAACAATACTTTTCCAGCCCAGGGGGTGTGACGATGGAAAGACCAGGGGCCTCATTTATAACGCCGTGCGTAGGATTCACGTGGGAAGGTTGCTTACGTAGTAGCCTAGAAATCCAAAAAATAGGTACAGACATTTTCCGACATTTTCCGATTCACCAAACATTGCGTACCGGCGAGGAAAGTGCGTACAGCACTTTCTACGCCGGTTTCCCTTTATAAATCACAACCGACTCGAAATGCGGTGCAGCTTTTGCGGGCTTCACGTAACGCCCATATTTGCCTATAAATAGTCAAAGAAACGCCCATTCATTCATTCATTCTGACAGACTTTATGAAGAAGATCGCAGGAAATGACGACAGAACAGCTAAAAAAGATATCTAACACCGTGTCAGATTTTGGTTATTTTGGGGAGGTCGAGATAAATCATATTGTTTGGTGGATGCAGTTTGAACCAGAGTAGCATCATGGAGGTCGGATCGTCACCAAAATAAATAAATAAATGGCCCGAAAAAGGTTAATGACAAAAACAATACACATAGCCTTCCTCAGGCGTGTGTTTGTACCGGGAACAGGAGACGTGAGGGTCTAAGGACAGAGGGTGTCGTATTGTCATACTGATATTCTGTATACACTGTGAAGACCACTGAGACAAATGTAACATTTGTGATATAGGGCTATATAAATAAACATTGATTGATTGAGAAGAGAACCAATGTTTTTCATACTTTGCTCCCCACACTATACTAAATATTTTTCTTTACAGGACGGACATTACGATTTATTCGACAAGTTACGATTTAAGTTTTTTTTAAAACCACTTTATCCCCAAGCTGTGCCAGCGAGTAACACGAACAATTTCTTAATTTTTATAATAATTCACAATACGTTTTTGGGAGTCTCCCAATTTTCAGACTCTAGGGTTAACTTTTAATTGTATTATCTCAAGGTATTCCTAAGATTTTTTTCCAATAGTCTCCCAAAAAGGAAAACTCCAAAGCATTTATTTCCCTCTATTAATCTCTGGGAATTGGTAGAAACATTCTGTAATATGTTCCGCAATCTATATGTAAAATTGAAATTGGTAAAAATGTCTCTGTCTATGTTGGCTCTCAATATGATAGCTGTTCCTTTTTGTGTCCCAGCTTTTCCCCTGGCTTGTATTGCTTTATCTTGTTGTCTTTCAATACCTCCAATAAAAGGCAAAAATATTTTCAAATTATCTTATTTTCAAATGTTTAGAATGATGGATAAGGGATGGTTATATCAAGAACAAGAGGACTGAATTAAAACACAATATGGAATAACCAAAAAAGTGTATTTTCTAAGCTTTCCCATTCCCATTCATTCCCATGAACGAAAAAAAACAATTTCAGGTTGAAAATTATTATTTTTTATTATTATTCATTTAAATTAACAAACACTGCTATACATATTGCTGTTTTTTTTAATTAATTTTGAATCATTTTGAACAGTTAAAGCATTTGGAAAAGAAGTAATAGTAGTTGAAAACAGGCGACAGACAGTAGATAACATGTACAGCAGATCTACAGTCAATGGCTTTCCTATGTGTGTCCAGAATATTTCAACGTACAGACATTAACAGTAATGTTTTTGGTTATCTTTTCACCTCTTTTAGTCATCGTACGGGAACAAATATTCCACATCTGTGCGATGTTAAACCCATCAAAAAGATAAACAGCCGATCTTTCCCATGTAGCAGCAGCTTGTATTGAATTGCAAAGTCCGTTTTCTGCATCCAGCACAACAAAATTCTTCCATCCACAACTTTTAATCATCTGATAACAAAAAGGATTGGAAAATATGACACCCCCATTTGACCCTTGACATTAAATTCATTAGGAATGTTTGAAGTAAACAAAAAAAGTCCCAAATATCGCTGTTGTGTCTTTCTCAGTGCACAGTTTTGAAAACCCTCATCCCTTTGAGATACACACGTAATACAAAATAATGAAAAAGAAGTGCTTCATAGAACTTCAAAAGGTGTCCCCTCTTTCATCCCAGGCCAGCTGTAAAAAGAGTTTTCCTATTTTTCCCTTCCTTTTTTTCAAAAAGTGAACCACGTCTGGCCCATTTGTTTAAAGCCAACACGGCTTCCACTAAGTCTCCACAGAGTACCTCGATGTTGGCATATGTTCATACACCCGTAAATCAGCACATCTGACTTAAATTTAAACATAATTTCTTTACTAAAAGTGACAGATTTACAAACACAGTATAAACAGGGTTGACATCATTGGCAGCTGGCGACAGTCTAGACCACAGTGGCTTTTTTCGATTTGAGCAAAAAACCCTCCTTTCAGACAAAGACGGACGAATTACAGGATGTATCAAACACAACTTTTTTGGCTTTTTGAAACCTGACCTGCCCTGAGAGGCGGTGTTGAAAAATAGGTAAGACCTTTTATTTAGAGAAACACAGAAACAAGGTCAGAAAGAATCCAGCGTAGGAGGGGTTCGTTCAGAGACGTTCTCGATGTGACACAATGTGCAACGTTCTTCACGATGGGGTTCTACTACACATGAGAGATATCCCTGACATCAATGTCAATCACATACACTTTGCCATTAACAGGTTGTAAAGTTCAGGTACAGAATCACTGAGGAAAAGCACACCAATACTGTAAAGTCAAGCCACCATGGCAACATAGAAGGTATAGAAGAGTATTGAAGAACTGTTCATTGATTGAAAGTTGGCTCGTATCCTTTGCAACACTGAGGAGGGCTTTGACAACCGTGAGGATGACCGTTTTGCTTTTCTACAGGCAGATTAAGGAGAGGACAATGTCTCAACAAAACACTATGTCAAATGTTATCAGCACAGGCCATAAATACAATAAAAAGATGGATATAGCGTCAGAAATGTGTACACACTAAGTAGTGATTCCTGAATCAAGGTCCAAGTTACGAACTGACAAATCTAAATGGAAAAGGAGATGAGAGGAAGTCTCTTTCTCTCCTCAAGTAGAAATTCCAGTGGAACACTGACCTCGTTTAGTGATTTATTGATTCGTCTTGGCAGAGTGCAAGTGTCGGACACATGGCTTTTTAAACATTTTCAAAAAAATATATTACGAACGCGCTCTCACGATTCCGAGATTTAGGCAAGTCCTTCTTTATTTTTCGTCTTCCCAGTAAACAAGCCGACACTCTGGAGTTGAAATGGCAAAGAGATGACACTTTTATGGGGTTGATGCACACACTCTTTACAAATATATATATTTTTTACAGTGAAGCAGAAAAAGAAGAAACACGTGGCGTAGCCCTTGTGGGAATCCATGCGGAGAACGGCTCACATGGTCATCTTGGTCTGGACTTTTGAATGTGCTTATGGGTCTTTAAAAGACACTGAAAGGGGGTGGAGGGGCGGCAGTTGATTCTCATGTTGCCGTCAGCCACAGTGTTTGTTTCTCAGCTGAGCCGAGCAAAACCCCCCCGCTCAGAGGGCCAGGAGGGTGGGGGAGTTGAGGGAGTCTGAGGACTGATCCCCGCTGCTGCTGCTCCGCCGGTGGGCCTTGGAGCAGGACTCGGAGGAGGGCGAGGGGCTCTCGGGTTCCAGCATGCTCGGGTAGGTGAATATGAGGCTGGGCGCGTTGGGCGTGGCGGCCGGGGTGGACGCCCCCACCACCGGCGTGTTCAGGCTGTCTCCATCTGTGCAATACATGCCTCCGCTGATGACGCCTCCGCCCAGGCAGATGGGCTTGATGACGGAGCGCTGGGGCTTGTCCACACGGTCGTCCGGCTCCTGCTTCACTACCACGTGATTGTTATGAGCCCGGGGGCCCATGTTGGAGCGCATGGTCAGTGGGAGGGGGGCGCACTGCTGGTGATGCGAGTGCTGCTGGTGCCCCGACGACGGGTGGCAATCGTCGATGGAGACCTTGCACACGGGGTTGTGGGCGACCAGCATGAACTCCAGCTTGTCCTTCTCCTTCTGCAGGCCCTCGATCTCCTTCTGCAAGTCGGCTTTCTCCTCCTCCAGCTTCTCAGTCTCCTGCGAGGAGAAGAGGACATATGGTTCAGTATTCACTCTAATGTTTAATTTTATTTTCGGTGGGGAACTTTTTAGTAGTTTATTCCATAGGCCAGGACTTTTCTATTGGTGACCCTTTATCAATATCAGTCTGACCCTTTCTCTCCCTAAATATCTAAACAAATATTTCAATACGAATAGAAGTCCATTGTTTTCCCTTTAAATTCCTAGTTTAACTTTTATAAAACAATATCCTCTGCTAACACTCTGAGTATATGATATATAGCGTGTGATTAATAATATTTGTTATATAAAGAAATTATATTTTTAGGTTTTACCCAGGCTGTTTAAACAGAGGGAATTTAGGATAATCACTAATAAAAAAGAAAAAAAGATTAAAAGCCACATTGTGTTTATTGAAACAAAACAACAACTACCACTTATTTCAAGATTAAAAATGTGCAATGTTTACACGTTTATATTCCTAGCTTTAAAGGTCAGACGTCCTTTGGGACTTCAATCTGGCCCTTAAAAAAATATATTGAATGTGCCTGCCCTAGGGTATAAGCAGGATAGTTATAAATGGATAAAAGCGAATATTGCAACAATAGTTTTTTACGAATGTTCAGAGACTTAATCCCAATACATTGTGATCAAGGCTGCAAAAGATGTTCAACAACCAGGCAGTCAGATGTATGAGTGTTTCTCCAAAGCAACCAAAAGAGGGCACTGTTTGTTTGCTAGAGTTTTACTGGCACACAGACAATAAAAGCAAAACTAACAACTTGTCATGGACAATTCAGACACTTAATCTGGAAGCCTTCTGCTGGAATTCGAGTTTCCCATAATGACTGTGCATTGTTGGTGGTGTCTCGGAGATATAATCTGCATCAGTAGCGTGTCATTAATGTGTCACGGAACAAGACAAAGACAGATCCCTTAAAAGCCGCTTGGCAGAAGAAGATAAGCTGACATGCTGTCTGAGAACTTTGACTCATGGGCAAAGGTATGAGGAAGTGTTTGCAAAGAGCCTGTACCACACTTGTAAATAAAGGATATCAGTAAATCAAAGAGTTTTACAGTTTATGAATACTGATTTTTATTTTCACTTTTCACTTCCTTATTGGGAATTTTTATTTTAAACATCCGTGAGAAGACGGAAAGGTGTTTTTTTTCCCTCGGAGCAATGGCTGTTTGTATAAGTGCACGCAGCATGTCTGTATGTAGGATTGTGAGACAAGCAATTGGCCCCTTTTTACAAAACGTCCTTCATTCATGCAGACAGCTGCCTACAGCAAATTCCTTTCCTGTTTTTTTTTTTAGGCCTGACAAGCTCAACCTCACTGTAATTCGGCTAATGAGTCCATTTAGATACTGCGAGACAGCCCTACCTCTGTCTGCAGCGGGCCGAGACAAAAAGCTTTTCATCGCCTGTCAGAGACACAGCCGGAGTCAAACCAGTAATGCAAGGTTGTACATTTAGGTGTGGAGATCAATCTCTCATCAGAAAAAAGAAGTCTGGACTCCTGCCAGACTTATGCCCTAGTATGACTTCTCTGTGTGAATAAACATCTCCTTTTTATTTATACGTCAACTATACGCATGGCAAATTTGGCAGAGAAACAGGGAGAATGCGAGTTTAGTTGCTTCAGAAACAAAACTGATTTGTGGTTGTTTAGTGCAACCCAGTCTGATGTGATGCGCTTGTTTTGCTCACCCCTTGCAGCATGTCTGTGAGCTCCCGTCTGCGATTGCGGCATTTGGCGGCGGCTAACTTATTCCTCTCACGCCTTACTCTCCGTTTCTCCTCTTCCTCCGGGGTCAGCTGAGGGCAGCAGAAGGAACACGGCAGGTCAAATACGCTGTCTGACAGGCATGCACCACCATGATCAATATGAAGCAGAGAGCAGCAGTATACATAGGAGCTGACTGAGGACAGTAATGATACCATGATGTAGAATTCATTGGCCTGATAAATTAACTCAATGTTGAATAAATATGATTTATAATGGAAATGCTCCAGGAATTTCTATGACACCCATGTCTATGATGCATTGTAATCTGCCATTAGCACTGTATAGATAAGCACTTATTTACAACAATAATTAGGACATATTATAAAGTATTTTATAAAGACTTATTAGGTAAAGCAACATAAACTTTATAATAATTGCTGGTCACTCATTTACTTTTTTCTGCACTGATGTTATTGAATTTTAATATCCATAGTTGTTACAATACTATTTGCATAATGCATTAATGTGGGGATTGTTTTTCTTCAAGCAAAGAACAACAGTTAGAAACATTTCTAATCATATTTAAATGTATAAAAAACATTATGTGGAATAATTATGAAAATAATAAGACACTACGATTCCTTGCAAATAAAGTCAATGTATGAGAGGAGATATCAAATATTATGATAATTTACCTTATAAGTATACATATATTACACAATGCCTTGAGCAGATGATAGTGAGTTTATAATGCATATAGACAAGGGAATCATAGAAAGTGTTCCAGAAAAAGATAATGGATGCTTTATTTTTAGACAAACCCTTAAAACAGCTATGGAAAATGTAGCTTTATTAATGTTTTATTAAAACCGAAAAATCCCCCTATAGTGGTGTCTTTGCAGTCCTGTGACCCCCATTGTATCAGCCCGGGTCCCTCACCTGTTCATCTCTCTTGCGTCGGCCCCTGGCGTCCCCGATGGAGCGGATGACCCCGGGCCGGGCCAACGTGTTGTGTCCCAGCATCCCCGGGCCGTTGGGCATGTGATGGCCGTACGGGTGGGAGCGGGAGTACGGGTTGGACATGGAGGTGATGACGGTGGGCTGCACCATCCACTGCAGGTCCTGGCTGGTGGTGATTGCATTGATGGTGGGGATGAAGGCACTGTTAGAGCCGGGCATGTCGACCCTGTACTTCTAGAAAAGGAGCAGAAAAAAGAGACATTTTATGAGCATGAGCACATTTAAGGAGGTTTTCCAGTAGGAGTCAACGCATAATCTCATAAGCATCTTAGTTTCTGTGTACGAGCCCTGCATCGTAGCACAATCGCAGACACACACACCACCCACCATTATCAAATCCACACACTTTCCACATTACGAGCTGGTAGTAATGATTCAATCCACATGGGCAAAGCACTGCGTTCGTAACCCCTGGAGTGGAACAGTGACACATGCTGTGAATCATGTGGGAAAGCCCAAGGTGTCCGCTGCATCTCACTTTACTATAACATGAGACAAAAACTGCGAGAGCTACACACGTCTGGACTGGCAGGTGAGATGACATACATGTTACTGTGGACTTCATAGACACACTATGTAATGGGTCATATGGATGCATTTAACTTTCGTTGTCCAGATGGAGAACATTTCCAGATGGAATTTTACGGGATCTGATAAAAATGTAATAAATGTAGAAGTTGGAATCAACTTTTGAGTCAACCAAAAACAATATTTAAAGCTAGATTTGCTTGATCTGGGGTATATCTAAACCCAAACTGTTTCTGGTCTGAGGACAAGATAATAATTTTGGCACAAGCCCCTTAAATTAAGGATAAAATCCTCTTAGAAGATGAAATATATCTAGAATTTACATGCATATGTTAGCTAACTATAGTTATAATCACCAATAAACTGTCAGATCATGTTACGTCATGCCTTAAGAGTCCAAAAACAAACGGGCTGCTTCCCTGTCTGTGTGCGTAAATTACGCACGTACCCACATTCCCGTTATTCCCGACTATCCGTCGGATATCCCGGCAGTCCATTGGAACTTTGTTTATCTGGTGACTCATTGTGTATGGGATATGTTAAGCACATGAGGAACGCGGTGAGTTCCAGTAAAGGGGGGGGGGGGGGGGAGGGTGAAGCAGCCAGCTGTAAAGCCAGACACTTAGCCAGACTTATGGGAGCGGAATCTTTTGGCAAGTTTAGCTTCACGATAAGAGCAAAAAAAAAAAAAAACCTATTAAAAAATCCCATTAAAACATAAAGTGATATATTGTATGCAATAGTGTGTAAGGGAACATTCCTTGAGTCGTTATAGGGAAGACCCAGTGTATAGCTCCTGATCTGACACGATATATCTGTCTAATACAATCTGAATTTGTTTTGATGTCCTAATAAAGAGGTCATGTTCCTGCCCGCTTTAATGGGAAACAGGCAGCCAGTGTGAGATTACAGGGAACCGGAGCCATGATGGATAGGGGCCAAAAGTCGTTAACCGTACGATGTTGCGTGAGCTTGACGAAGTTTTTCCACAGAAATGCTACGCAAGAGTTGTCTGCGAGGAAGCAACCTCCTCTTCCCGGATTTATAACCAAATATGTATGGAAATATAGGCATGGCGTCCTCATAGCGTCACATAAACAGTATAATATCAGTATGTACGGTGTATATCACAAATGCGTTTTCATTTTTTTGGTTTGGAAATGCAGGCTTTTCATTGCCCTGCGCTCCCGGTCTGTGCCATGTGCAGCGAGACTGTCTAAAAAAAGACTACAATCTAAACCATTTCATTTCAGAGTCCAATAACATAAACATCTGCCACAAATGTCAACTTAACACATTTTGATAAAGTAATCGTCTTTGGTGCTTTCCAACATGGATCATCACCCCTGTGTCAATGCCTGTATGTGGCAGTACTCGCCTGTTGCCTTCTCCTTAGGCTCCATCTTTACCCAGTACATTGCTGTGTAAATATCTCAAGATATGGCATGTTCTACAGGAATTATCATAACTATTATGTGCGTAAAATACGGTTTCCAACGCGCAACAATCCCACAAATATGACAGTTTTGCGCACGGATATGAGAGATGAGAGGACATCACATTCAATTCAATGCGTCTCGTTTCACCAAATCACATCTAACCTTTACGTGTTTAATGGAAAATAAGGAAATAATATGTATTTGTGCAAAATCTACATTTCTGTGCCATTTATCGCGCGCCATGCCAGTGCGCACATTATATATGCAACCAAAGGTGCATCACCCGGTAGCCTATACTAGATAAGCTTAAGGAAGATTGAATAGATAATGAGTCCAACATACTTGTGAATACATCGAGTGTTGCATTTGTTGAGTCACCGACGTCATTGGGTTCAAACGTTTTCCCCCCAAGAGTATGCAATTACAATCTATAAACGCGGAAAAAACAAATTGACATACAACCTGTAGGATAAGATGTTTCGCACTTTACACCGTATTAAAGGCTAGGTTATCATGTTCAGATAATGTCGCGGTGTTTCCTGCTGGTACCTGGTAGCTTGAGGTAGAGATCGGACTTCCGATCGTGCTGCTGCCGCTCGTGAAGGACTCCTGTTGGGCCGGAGAGGTGCTGCTGCCGCGGGACGACGTGTCGTAGTTCCCGGAGTAGTCCTGGTACATGGTCCAGGGAGGAGGGAAGATTTCAGCAGACTGTTTGAATCTGAAACCCCCCCTTTTTTTAAATCCTCGCAGAAAAAAGGCACCAACAGAAGAAGAAAAAAATCCTCTGACTTGTTGTTAATTTGGGATATCCAGAGAATAGTTGGAAATAGGTGCTCCTCTAAACTCACCTACAACATCGTTCAGATATTGCTATTTAGATATTTCCTCCTGTGCTTCCTGTTTCTTATTTTTAATAATGCTTTTTATTATTCAGGTAACTACGCTATAGATCCTCTCAGGTGCGCAAACTTGAACCTAAAGTCAAATCCAGTTGAGACAAGTGAGCCTGTATTAAGAGTGACTCACGCAGGTTAACAGTCGCTAATCTGCGGAATACTTCGCTACTCTATCTGAGCTATGTGCTGTTCACGGAACAGTTCTAACTTTTTTTTCTCTTTTCCTTTTTACCACACTTCCTACAGATGACTCACTTCAATGGCACTATGAAGAACTGCAACGGCTTTTCAACACCAACGAAAGAGCCTACGTCACAGCCTGGGCGTTGCGATTTGTGCGCGGGGAGGGGTCGTGTCCGGATAAGGCAGTGAAAAATAAAAGTTCCGCTGTGACCGCCTCGCGCGGAGCACACTGGAGATATAAAGGAGGAGAGGGTTGCGGGAGAAGTAGCTCGGATATTTGCGGGGAGGTTTATTTTTTCGTTTCGAACGTCAGTGCCTGCTGCGGAGTTCACTGTTTGTCTGACTTGCTTCGGTCCATTGACGCATGTTTCCTAAAATGGACAGTTGCGTCAGAGAGCGCGTGTGGGTTTCCTTGGTAAAGGAAGCGTCAGACACTGGAGGGATTCCCTCCCCTCGCGCGCTGCACTTCGGACTCCGGAGCTCTGAGCGCGCGGGTCTCGGTCCGGTTACTGATTTTAAAGCTTTAAGTGTGAGGATAATGAGCACTTGGACACACGATTGGTTAAAGTCGCAACAAACATGTACACTCACGTAGTAAGAGTGAGTTTAAAGCAGTAAAAGCAACAGTTGTTTTGCTCCAGAATTCGACATTTGTCATCATCATACAATTCCTATTAAGAGCAGACAGCGTTATTTCATCTGTTTAAGTCTTGCGAGCTCAAATCCACCGCCTTGTATCCGTCCCTGTTAAAAATGAAAAATGATTGGACATGGACAATTATGCACAATTGCGTCTGTGTGTTATTTGTGCGTCAATTGGAGAGCGTGCAAAAGGATGGCAGCAAGACCATGCAGATGGTCAAATTAACGTGGCCCACTGCTCAGGTTTAGATTAATGTTATTACTAGGCCTACTACTAGGCTATATAATAATAATAATAATAATAACAGCTTCAAAGGAATCTCAGTGAAATGTGGGCTAATTGTAACTCGGACGCAGCGTATAAACAAGGGCACGGCGCCCGGAATGTGACACACGATATGAAATGGCGTATTAAGCATAATCCAATCTGCCATGGTTCCTATTTTAATCTGTATAGCCTAACTGGTTACATTGAGCTCTCTTAAAGCTGTGTGCCAGAAAGACTCGCTCCATCAAAAAAGTTTCAGAAGGGGGAAGTTGTGTCGAGGGGAAATCATCTGCGGGGGGGGGTTTATGAGGTGACCACGTCAATTACACTACTCCAGTTCCTCCAATATGTCACCCTTTCCAAAGTGGGTGTCATTTTCGCTGCATTGCCTTTTGACCTGTGATCTGTGTGGAAAGCTTCTGAAAGCACCCAGATGTTCATCAATTTGAATGATATTAATTCATGATTAATGTTTATCATGGAGCCAACGACACGCTCTTCACCCGCGACGGTGTTGCTAAGCGACACAGTTTCATCTAAATAGCTTGGGGGAAATCTAATCTGCCATAGTCCTATAATTAATGCCGTAATATCGTTTGAGATGCGCCCATCGGCGTCAATTTGGGGCTGGCAAGGTATATGGCACTGTGACAGGTTCTGTTCCCGTATGAGTCCAATTTAGTTTTTTAAGTAGGCCTAGGCTACATAATGAGATATCACGCACACATTGGAACACACAGCGTTCAGTGATGCCTGTCAGTCAGACGGTGCTGCTCCAATTTGTCATTCGTCTCACGGATGTTGATGGTTAATGACAGATTCAGGGATTTATTAAAAAGCTGAGGGGCTGACCTGGGATGATCTGCAGGTCGCGAGCCTCATCTCACATCAGAAGGAATCAGCTCCATGTAGAATATATTAGCAGCGGATCTGATGGACAGAGAGGCTGACCTGACGCGCTACAGGTGTCCGTGACGTCAGATGGGTCGATGGCCCTAATGCTGCATTCAAGAACCCATCTGCAGAATTTGAAAGGCAGTCAAAGACGTCGAGAGTAATGTCAAAAATATGTCTATATGAAAATGAAGGTTTGGTGACACATGCATGGTACAGATAGTTGCAGCATTATGTTGAATACATTTGGTAAAGAAAAAACGACTTTGCCTAAAAAATTGCGAAACATAATGTAATAAAAAAGGTTTTCAGTTGGTGCCATCAGTGGGGGAGGACACATTCATATCTTATAAATAAGTAGCCTACTAATATTACAAAGTAAAAATACTTGTCCTGCAATGAAAATGTTAACGTGAAAAAGTACAATTAGGTACATGTACTTATTAAGGACAGTTAGGGTAAAAGTAGTAAATGCAAAAATATATCTCGTAATAATTCAATTATAGCCTATGTTTTATTATTATAACTTAAGTATTAATGTAAACACATGATTTTACTGTTGTGCCAGTTGAAGTACAGCTCATCTTAAAGCTATTTTGTATAGGACAGCAACTAAGAATTTTTGACCATTATGCAATAATCTGCTGATTATTTTCTTTGTTAATTGATCGATTGTTTTGTTTGTAAAAAATCGGAAAAAAGTCAAAATGATGTCTCTATTATTATGATTATTATTATAACATATTTGTATTTATTATGTAAAAATGATTAAGCCTTCAGAAATGTTAAGGGAGGTCAGAGCTATTGTCCACAACAGTTTTGTGGAGAATAAAAAAAAGATGTAAAAAAACGGTAGACCCTAACCCTAAAATGAATCAATTGCAGTGTTATTGAGTTCGTTTTTTCAAAAATAAAAAGCAGGGAAAAAGTCAAAGGAACAGAGACTGCCTGAGTCAGCATTTTCAGAACTCACAATAATCATTGTGTTTTCCTTTGACACTTTTACTTTCTCCTTCTTTCTTGCCCTTGCCCTCCATTGTTTCCTCCCCCTGAGCGTCACTCAGCTGTCATGTTGCAATACGTTAACCTGGATAATAAAAGCTTGCATGATCAGCGTGGCTAATCTCACGGCTCAGGTGCGCAGGACACACGCAGGCAGCAAAGTGCTGACTCAGAGCACAGACAGTGCGTTCATGAACTCTCAGTGTGACTGACAGTAGGATTCATTGTGATGCTAGTGGTGCATTAACACACTTTCCATAAGGTAAAGGTATTATGATGCAACACAGCAGAGACGCAGCAATGCATCTCTGCTAAAAGTCCACTACATGGTACAGGAAGCAGGCCAACACACTCCTTTTCTTTTTCCCACACTGTTGAGAATAAAATAAAAACAATCCTATATGGCTCGGTTTCCTCTGACAAAGCAGAGGCAAAACCTGTGACTTTTTAAATAGAAACCCAATCAGCAGTTTCATCAGCATGCCCACTGTGCAAGAAGATAGCTTTTTCCCCTCAAAAGAGTCTGGATGCCAGACTAACCGACAGCTCCTGTGAATTAAAGTAACCATGCTTCAGTGATTTAATCTACTGTTGCCTTGGTGACTCATGTAAAGCAGTCAAACACAACAGCACAGAGGGATAATTTGATCGCTCTTGACCTCTGGAGTGTGGGATTGTGGAGAGAAGAATATTATTTCATTGGCTGCATTATCCTCCAATGAGGCCAATCACATTCAGGTATGCAGGCAGTGCCGCAGCTGCTGCTCAGCATCTTCCTCTTGTTCACATGCAGTGTATCCGGACTGCATATTCAGACACGCTCACACATTCATGTCAACATCCTCTGGCTGCTTGAATTCCTTATGTGAAAGCAATTCATTAACGCAAACGCGAGCATTCAGTGTTTCGACTGGGAAAGGATGAAGATTAGAAGAGTTAGAGAACTAATGACCACAAGTGTTCACAAGGCTGTGCATGGGGTATCTTCAGATTTTTCACAAATGTCATCATATTAGACTAGACAATCATAAAAAGATATGTTACTCAAGCCACGATTCATTCTATTAATTCCAAGCAGGTTGAAACTTAATCGATCCAAGTTGATCCACTTCCTTTGAACCAATTCGAAATCATCCAATCAAATTGCAGAGAGACAACCATATAGGACTAATGTTACGTAACTGAGGATCACTTATAAAAAGTATGTGGTGGTCAACCAAAAAACAAATTACATGCAAAAACGCAGATTGAAATTGGTCAAGAGCACATTATGAGCTGTTTAGGACTTGGGACACAAAGACTTGAGTCTTACTTGTCACTCGCAAAACAGTGACTTTGTTTTCAGTGGTTCATTGTCACAAGAATTGCAGGTCTGCATATTCAATAGGGTTATATGCTTGAGGCTAAATATTTAATTTACAGACTATTAATTACCTCAACAGGTTCCACTTATATATACATCTGTCAGAATTGGTAGGACTTCCTTCTTACTCGCATGCGGGGCTGAGGTGTGGTTAGGTGATGCAACTTTAAAAAACCATTAGCACTGCTGGAGCTGAATCTCTTCTTACAGTGAGGCATTTCAGTCATTTTAATTACTGAGACACATTTCAGACAGACAAATCCTTTACCAGTATCGTGTGCTGGACCTTAAACAGAAAGAAGAGCGGTGCAGGAATTGCCGCGAGGTGGAAATTAGAGGGTGGGAGCGTCTTATTAAATGCCACCATGTAGCAACCGACTGTTTTCATGCTTGTTTGCTGCTGGAAACAAATCAAGTGACCTCATATGACACAACTTGTTTTCATGCCATTGTGCAGATCCACTATAGCTGACGAACCCTACAAATATGTTTTGTCACAGGAGATTGCGGTGAAGCAAGGTGCTCCATTCTGTAATTTACCAGGCAGTTCTGTTTAATCAGGTAACCACAGGGAACTATAGCAAAGTGGAGATCCACATAATCACCTGCACTGTGAGCACAGTGCCATCCAATCACCACGCTCTTGACAGTAACTTTACAAGGTATCAGTTCCTGGTACAATGGAAGGAAGTGCGTCACAGTACCTCGAGACAAAGAAGAATGGAACGCCGCTCGGGCAAAAACAGCAGAGAAGACAGAAGGGGAAATGTTGGAACATGTGGTGGAAGAAGTGAACAAATAACAGGGTCTGAGAGGAGAACAAGGCGGACTTCTAAAGGGCGCAGCCACCTGCAGCTCGCAAATAAACAGGAGCTCGCTTCCACTCTTACGGGAAAGCTTATTTTCAGTGGAGGAAAACAAAAGCCCCCACTCGATACTAGAAAGGAAAATATATTGGCAGCCTGACAAGAATGGGCTTCGTACCGGCGTGTTATATTGTTTTTGTCCCCACTG